AATAAAATACTGTTTATATTGATTTCTTTTACTTTCAGCTATTTTTCTTTGTATTCTGAGGATATTATTTTTGGTTTGCAAAATTCTTCAATATATAGTTAATATTCTATGTTTATTTCATTTAAATAAAGTATAATATACTGAGCCAAGATTGTCGGTATCCGATCTGATATTCATAGCATTGTTATGTTTTTTAATCTGTATCATTTCATGGACTCTTCTCGTATTATAATTGCTCTCGTTAATCATTACTTTTGTGTTATCAAAATCAAAATTATGCAACTTCTGTTGTGCATGCTGTGCTAATGCTGTACCATTTTCGTTATTTTTTCTTAGGCTATACTTATGTTCGTGTATTCTTTTCTTTAGATATTGTTCTGTTTGACCTATGTATGTGTTATCACAAATCAAACAGTCGATTTTGTAAATTACATTAGGCGTGTCTAACTTGTCAATTCTAGGTTTAAATTTTGTGAAACATTCATTTGCTAAGGTGTTTTTAGTTTTTTCTGCTATGTTGNTATTATGTGGTTTGAATATATTTTTTATTTTTGTGTTAATTTCCGGAATATATGGTAATGATATATACTTGATATCACCTTCTCTTCTTTTATTTATGTTTTTCCATTTAGTTAAACTGTATATTTTATCCTTTGCTTTATGATTGGTTCGAAAAATGACCTGGATAGTTGTTTATTAATAATATATTTTTTATTTTTTCAATATTTTTTGTTCTATACTCCCAATGTGACAATTTAATGGCTCTAAGTGCCGTTATTACACTTTTTTTGTATTTCATTGGAGCGTACGATTGATAATTCAGGTACCTACCAGAAAAATACTGACAATCTTCAGACATTTTTCGCGAAAAATTACGGAACAAAATTTATTAGAACACTTGCGTCCTTCGTCGCTTTGTAAAAAATAAAAACGAACTGAATAAGCGAAAGTTTATAACAAATTATTTCGAAAACTCGCGACTTACATTCCTCTGAAGACTATAGAGTTTGTTTAAAAAATGTGGTTTTTCTACTCAGAAACGCTCTATTTTGAAGAGTTTTACTTAGAAACACTGACGATCTGAAGGTCTTTTGCGCGAAAAATTGCGAGATAAATCTATAGCTTTGTAGGAATTTCACAAAAACTTTGCTGCGTCGAATTCGGGACAAAAACCCCCCAAAAACAAATTTATTTTTCCTGTTTCTTCCCGAAAATCATTAAGATTTTCGCAAAAACCGATCACAAAACTAAAAGTTATTAGTCAAAAACTAAAAAAAAAACACTAAAATTTTGCCTCATTCATCAACAAAATTTAGGCTTCCTCAAAAAACGACCATAGAAAGCAAAAGCATATTATCAATATTTGGAAAACTCGTCACCCTTATCGCTCTGAAACGTTTTTAAGTTTCTTCAAAATTTCCGGATTTTTATGCGCAATAGTTTTGATGGCTTTTTTTGTTAGATGTTAAAACTTTTCTGCGTGGAATTCGGGACAAAAACCCCCCAAAAAAAAATGTATGTCTCCTGTTTCTTCCCGAAAATCATTAAGATTTTCGCAAAAACCGATCACAAAACTAAAAGTTATTAGTCAAAAACGCAAAAAACCGTTATTTCCTGATGATTTTCTTCTTTTCCGACACTAAAATTTTGCCTCATTCATCAACAAAATTTAGGCTTCCTCAAAAAACGACCATAGAAAGCAAAAGCATATTATCAATATTTGGAAAACTCGTCACCCTCATCGCTCTGAAACGTTTTTAAGTTTCATGAAAATTTCCGGATTTTTATGCGCAATAGTTTTGATGGCTTTTTTTGTTAGATGTTAAAATGCCGTCATCGGCCATGAGTCAAAGCCACTCGCTAACCAATGAGTTAAAACTCATCGACTCAGAGAGCGGCAACAACTCAAAAGCGCAACTCAACACAGTGTTACCCAGGCCTAAACCATTCGCCAAAAATAATAATAATGAGGGCTGGTGGGGCGCAGCTTTTCAGGCCGAAACCCGATCTGCCCCGTGAGCTGAACGACTTTCTCACCGACGTGCAGGAACATCAGCGCGACTTTGCCTTCATCAGGAATGCGGCCCGCAACCAGCACAAGTACGAAAAGAGCTTCGAGGAGAGCCACGATCTGCTGGGCGAAGACATCGTGAGTCCTCTGGAGAACTGGACTCACCCCCACTCTGTGTTCTCCTGTTCTCAGGGCAACCAGCTGACCATCAATCCGGACTACAACCGGAAAGTCGAGCTGGATCAAGTGCGTCCGCCCTATGCAGGAGTCGATAACAGCATTTACGCCGGCTTCGAAGCGCCCCAGAAGTTCAAGTATTTGTACCCTGAGAAGCGGTGAAAGAGTTCCTTTGGAAAAACAGAGCGGGTTCCTTCAAGCGGGTTCCCTTTGCAGGTACAGCAAGTTCGTCCGCAGCCCCATTCGGCTGAGACGAGAGCTGGAGGACAGTTTCTTAACCGGCCCGGTCCAGGCCGATTCCAATGGCGATTATGGGAGCGTTCAACGGCCCGAACCCAAGCTACCAGCCAATCAGCTGAGGGCCGACCAGAACCGGTACCACACGGGGTTCCTGGTGGGCGTGGAAGACCGGAGCGATCAGAAGGATCATCCGGACGCGCAGCGCAAGCGGGAAGTGGAGATCAGCATCAAAGTAGCCTCAACCGGGGGCCCTTAATCGGCAGGCAACATCCTCATATGATTTCAGAGCGACGGCAAACTGATAAAGCGCATAGAAGAAACGGAGGATGCGCCCAAGACCATCCTACTCAACATTAAGGCCAGCAACCCGAGCAACTTGAACCAGGCCGAGGCCAGTCTGCAGCCAACCAGTTCATCGGAAGCTGCCCCCACACAGGAGAAGTTGGGGACTAACAGCGACTCGATCCCCAGCCCCAACCAGAACAAAGACATCGGAGTTCCGATAAACGCGATTCCTGCAGTCAACGGCCTCAACGCGCACAGCAAAGCCATCGCGTCCGCCTCTTTGCTGTCCAAGGAGGACGCCAACAGGATTTCCAACTCCCCAGTCGTCAGTGAGCCGGAAAAGGAGCCCCTGAACCTGCCCGAAGTGGAAAAAGCTGAGGACTTCAAGACGAAGTTCGAGCCGTATGGCAGAGCTGATGGCTGGTCGGCCGACAATCTCCACATGGCGAAGAGCATCGATCTGGCGCAGGGCAACATCAACGGCAACTTTGAAGCCCCCAAAGACAAGCCGAGTAAGCCGAAAGGCGCACTTTTGTCCAGCCATCCTCATCGTGTTCTGCAGGTTTGGATTTCGGCCTGAACGATGAGAAGAAACAGGAGTTTGACAAGGTTCAGGGCCTGCTGGTGGACGCCAGCAGCAATCCCAAGCCAAAGGAGAAGCGCAAACGGCGCTTTGAGGACGTGTGGGGGCCGCCTCAAATGTACGAGGTGCACGAGCGATCCACCAAAGATATTTTGGTGGTTCCCATTGGCACGACCGAGTGTCCGAAGGCGCGCCAAGAGGAAGAAGCGGAGGAAATTGGCGACGCCATCGCCAAGCAGATAATCAAGGAGGAGGAGGAAGAGAGTACAGAGTGTGATGGTGGCAAGTATTTAAGTTCATCTGCTGAATGTTTAGACAATGTAGGCGTTACACCGGCAGAAGAGGAAGACTTCGAAATAGTGCGCCACCCTAAAGCCACAACCGAATGCGTCGATTGCCGCGAAACGCCCCCAGAAGAGGAAGTCATCATCCATGAAAATCATCATCGCGGCCGAAGACGGTCTGGACGCAAAAGAAGCCGCAAGCACCACAACCATCACAGACCGTTGGAACAACCAGTCAGATGGTGAGATCACCGGTCTACTAATAGAAACGTTTTCCAGCGACGCAAATCACAAAAAGAAAAAAGCGCACCATCACCAGAAGAAACAGCGAACCGAAAGAGAGTCTTTGGGCGACTACTACGACGTTAACCTGCGCTATGGCGGTCCGGAGGATGCCTTTGACTACCTGCCGTCCTACAAGCGAAGAAGTCTAAAGTCTTGGGCGTATGAGTTCGATCCGCACCTCATTCCCGACGTGGGCAATAAAGAGGAGGAAGCTGCCCAGAGGAGCAACAATGTCAGGACGCAAGGCGTTAAGAAGAATGCGAGTGAGTTCTATGCAAGGGCGAAAACTATTTTTTACAACGCGGCAACAGCGCACGGAGACGTCACTAATGGGGTAACTCAATGAATTTTTAGGTGTTGGCGCAGTGCTACGCAAATGGGTTGGCGCGCCAACCCATTGTTGTTGATGACTGTTTTTACTTGCCTTTTGATTTATTTTAAGGGTCATTTATCAATAACATTTTTAACGTTTCTTCAAAATTCCAGAATTTTCCAGTTTTGGCAGTCACTCTTTTTTTTAATGCTCAATTTTCTAATTCAGTTTTTAATCGAAAACGCAAGTAAACTACAATTTTCTGATGATTTTCTTCTTTTCTGATTCTCATTCATCGGTTTGCAGGCCACTTTAGAAAACCTTGTTCAGCTTTGAATTGGGCACAAAAACCAAACAATTTTATTCAGTTTTTACCGAACGTAATTAAGATTACATTTGGGAATGTTTTCCGGGCTTTGAAGCCGTGGTTTATGGGAATTTCTTCCTGACGTTTCGTCCACAACTGCGCTGGACATTTTCAAGGGCGATGAGGCAGTGGGCGAAGTGATCTCCCGTGCTTTCCAACTAAGACTGTCGTAAGAAGTCCCTTCAAAGCCCGGAAAACATTCCTAAATGTGATTTAACCGGCCGTGAAAGCCTTCATAGTCTGGTAATTAAAATTATCTTGCAAAGCTTTCATTGCCTTGTCTTCGTTAGGCAATCGGAAAAAGTGCAAATCCGATGGCGACTACTCGGACGAAGAAGATTCAATGACAGTCAGCCCTCCAAAGCGCCTTCCCATAAAAAAGACCCAAAATCGACTGGCCTTCGACTCAGCCACGACAACTGAAGACAATGACGACGACTATGACTATTCCGATTTGACTGACATAGAAGACGGTAATCTGCAAAAATTCCCCGGCATCGGGTGTCCCATTTTCGACACTTTCCCGGGCGACTATACAACTTTTTTGATCGCCCCAGCAAAGATACATACGAAAATGGGACACCCTCTAAACACGTTCAATCCTCAGAAGACGAGGACATCGCCTACGAAGAAGTCCGAGGCGATAATCTGGAGATGGAGGACGCAGTGGAGAACAGCAGCAGAAACGAGCACGAGAACGATAAATTGAGGGAGAACCTCCAGAGGGAGTTGAAGCCTTTGCTGGCGCAGCTGGAAGCCTCCACAGCGGGCACGGAGCAAAGTGTCTCATCGGGGGACGTCGGTAAGTACCAAAGCGTCCATTGATGTCCTGGGACATGAAGTACTGCTTCAAGGCGACATGCTACTGGAAGCCCATCGAGTTCTAGCAAACGCGCACGGCCATGGAGCGTCCCGAAAGAAGTCGGACAAACGGCAACGGAAACCCAATCACATTGGTGAAGAAAGTGCCACGGCCAGAAAAAGACGCAAAAGACGACACTCGAAGCACCTGCACAGTAAATCGCTCAGAATGTCTGATAAAACACGTGCTTCCAACTGAGCATTCCAGAGCACCCCACTGGTAAAGAGGTCGATGAAAAACGACTAAACTCCGCAGTGGCAAAGCGCAGCCCAGCTGCAGCACCTCTGCAAGAAAAGCCGTTGACCCCCGAGCAGAAGCAGGAGATCTTCCTGCGATACAATCCAGAGTTCCAGCGTTGGCCCCGGTTCATCCAGAACGACAACCAGTACCAGGCGTTAATGAGAAAACGGGCTCTTGACAACCAACGACGTCACTTTAGGACTGTGAGGAATGGCAACAATTTCCCCATCTCCAACGAGTATTTTCTCGACAGTCGACCCGAGTTTGTTAAAAGGCAGGAACCGTCCACTGCTGAAGCCGAAGCTGCAGCGGCCAGTGAAATCAGCACGGAAGCGGACGCGTCCTCTGAAACGGCCAGTGCAGCTGAAGCTGCAGATGCCACCGCTCCGAGTGCTGCAGCTGAGGAGCTGTCCACTGCGGCGGCAGATGCCGCTGCTGCTGCATCTGCAACTAGTGCTGGTAAGAGTGTTAATATCTCAAAAGGAAAAAACGCAACTTTCATCCTCAAATCGAAGCAATGGAATCAGAATCGACTTCAACAGCCAACCAGCTGCAGATGGCAGTACAAGCGACAGCCACGCTGCCTGAATCGGCGCGAAACATCCTGCAGACCGCCAACTCGGATATTTTCGAGAACACCACAGTGCCGGGGGTGAGTGGAGGCCTCCTCTACTCTCTACTCAAACATTTGCTTTGTGGCAATTCCAGATCGGAGCTTTTGGGGAAACGAATTTCTCCCCTGCTCAGACCGTCCAGCCTTCCACGGAGTTCCAGTTCACCACCAAAGTGGAGGATTTGACCACAAGTAAGCCGGTTTCTTCAACACCTCATCCTCACTGAGGCTTTTCTGCGCCGTTCAGATACTCAATGCGAAAATGTGACTCAGAAGCGCGTAGAATCCTGCGATGAGGAGAGCGCCAAACACAGCCCCAGTCCCATTACCAGTGTGCTTCCCCTGCTGCCCGATGCTGCTTCAGAGGTAAATAACAATGGGAAAACTGATGATTTTCTTCACTGGTTTGCTGCAGATGGCGCCCAATATGACCAAGGATCAGTTTCTGGACCTGGACGAGATCCTGGTGGGAGTTCTGCCCAGAACCATAGTGGCGGAGTCCTTGGCCAATGCGCATGGGAGTGTAAGAATGGGACTCAGAGCAGGCCGATTCAACGTGAGTAAAACGCAAAAGAAGAATTTGATTTATAAAAAATGCAGTTGTTGCTGTTCGAACAAAGTTTCGAAAAAAACACTTCAAACTCTCGGCGCTTTATACTAGAACCTGATCGCTGCCCGATGGCACTGCATTGGTAGGAAAAAGACAGATATAGCTCGACCCACTCGGGCACTTTCGGGTGCTGCGAATAACGCGCTCTAGACTTGAACTGCTTATACCAAAGGGTTTGGGTGGAACACTCATTTGCACCGATTTGTGATTTATGAATGAAATGAATGCGACTGATCGATATACAGGGTGATTCTAGCAACTGCAATTTACGAAATGCACATTAGTTCAATTTAATTTCGTTTATTTACGTTCAATTAATTTCAGAAACATTGTTGCATAATTTCTGATAATTTCATAAAAGAATTACTATTTTTCCCAACTTCTCCGGTACTCTCTAAGCAACCCCCCGAGGAATGACGCACGTTTTGAATCACCCTGTGTGTAAAATTGAGAAACAGTAAGCAAATGCATCTGGTTAAACTGCGGGCGATGAACAGCACGAACTGCAGAGTTTATGAATCCAAGTTGAGAGTGAAAAAGCGATCGATGGGTGTTTGACGCAGATGAACATGCTGCTTTCGGGGTTCAACAACAGCGCCGAGACCAGCTTGATTTTGAGCGAAATGACCAATCTGCTGAAGAAACTGAAATATCGCTCCACCTGCCAGATTTTGCCAGCCAATTTGAAGACGTACGTGAAGATTTTGACGAAAAACGAAATGGACGATCCGATGATGAAGCTGAAGGAAATGAACGAAATCGGTAACGCGGAGTGGTCGAAATCGATGACCAGTTAAGGTCTGGAGACACTGTTGGTCGGGTTTGGGGATACTGGGAGAAACCCGAATTTGACCGGAAATGTTTTTTGCAAATAATTGAAAAATCTGCTCATTTATTTTTTTACAAACTTCTTTTTGGGTATTTCGCCTCACAAATTTTTGCCTTTAAAAAAGACAGAATTTTCTCACGGCTTTTATTACAGATTGATAAATAGTGCTCCTATTTCGCAATAAGAACGAATTATTTATCAAAAAGTAATCAAGAACTATCAACTAAGGTAATGCGACCGTCATTATGGATTATAATATCTATTACCAAAAATTAATGAACTTTTAAATTACAAAAGATATTCAAAATTAAACAAAAATCCAACAGAACATTTTGAAAGGCAAATTTACGACACTTTAAAAAAAATTTAAACATGAATTCACAGATTACGTTAAATCAAAATTTACACCACACAATAGTAAAACACCACATTTTTACCGAGTTCCAAAAATCCATAAAGTTAATATTCCTTTACGACCAATAGGTATATATATAAATTCACCTACACACCCCTTAGCCAAATTTCTTTAAAACAGTGTAAATCCCCTAATAAATAACACAACTTCCTATATTAAAAATTCTGAACATTTTTTACAAAAAATATCAGACATAGACATGAATCCAAACCATATTCTAGTAAGTTTTGATGTTGATTCACTAACGTTCCTGTTTATGAAACTTTAAATATCATCAAACAAAAATTACAAAATGACACCAATCTTAAAGAACGCACACAACTAAGCATTAACACCATTATTGAACTTTTAACAATATGTGTAAAGTCAATTTACTTTCAATACAATGACAATTTTTATCAACAAAATTTTGGAATGGCTATGGGGTCACCACTATCCCCATTTTTCAGTAATTTATTTATGGAAAATTTTGAATCAACTTTCATTAATAATTACAAATTTAAACCAATAATTTGATGGCGTTATATTGATGACGTATTCTCCATTTACAGTCATGGCGAACAAAAACTTGATGAATTTTTATCTTATCTGAATAATAAAGAACCAAGAATTAAATTCACTATTGAAAAAGAACAAAATCACCAAATTCCTT